CATTTGTTGCCATCCAGTGGATGTACGCTTGGAATAGGAGGTCCCGTTTGATGCAATGTGCGTCCAAAATAACTAATTAAGGGGTATCCCTGTAAAGGCCACTCTCATATTATCTAGTGCCCGACAAGTGGCGCACATGCGTCCTAACTTGAGAGTTTTGTCCTTTTTCATAGATTTATTTTTTCAAAATGTTACATTTGTTGAAACGCTCATGCAAATTGCAAACTATTTTCACCGTTGAATTTCTCATGTCGAAATTTTTCAAAACTAGATTCATGTTAATAGGTTTGACGATTTTTTCTTCAAAAACGAGGAATAAAGAAACAAAAGCAAAGAAAACAAAAACAGAACACTAAAAAAATGAAACCAGAGGAAAACCAAACCGAAAATAGGGACACCAGAACCACAATTGTGCTTTTTCACTTTTTCCTAGAAGCACAGGTGGGTTTTTCCTTTTTTGGGAAGCGCAAGTGCACTTTTCCCTTTTTGGGAAGGACATTTCTGCTTCTCATCGAAGTACACGATGTGCTTTTCCTTTTCTTTGGAAAGCTCGTGGAAGCATAGGAAGTGTTTTTTTTCTTTTTCAGGAAGCTCATGGAAGCATATGATGAGCCTTTTCCTTTTTCTAGAAGCTCAACTATATTCCTTTTCAAAAAGCACATGTTAAGCTTCTCGTGGGAGCACAACCGTGCTTTTCCCTTTTTGGAAAGCACATGTTGTGTTTATCATTTTTCAGAAAACATAGTTGTTCTTCTCACGGCAAAACACTATTTCTACAAAAAAAAAAAAAAAATTCCACCAAAACCTAAGAAAAACCAAACAAAAGCTGAAAAGCCGAAAATGTCAGAAAAAACCCCGCAACATGTAAAAAAACGCCAAGGATGCACCCAACGCATGACACATGGTGGTGGCTGGATGCACCACTTGACACGGTCTTAGGCTGAAGGAAATGACTTGTGCAGAAGCCCTTAAAAATACCCCTTGATTAGTTGCTCATGTGCGTAACATAGGAAACACTGACTTGCCCTGCCTATCCAGTAAAAGCCTTAAACAAACAGGTCGAGTAGTGCCAGTTATTTAGCCCGTTTTCTTTAGTCCATTTGGGCTTTTACTTGATTGCTCCAGAGGCCCAACCAAAGGACAACTTTTTTGCTCTCTATCATGGCGCCACAACACGCTGCGACTATATCTCGCATTAAGCGAGTAGGTAGAAAGTCTCACTGAAGCTTCTAAAGTAATTGGTCCGGCCAATTCGCATTCGTGCGTGCATAGTAAGTAATAAACAGGTCGAGTAGTGCCAGTTATTTAGCCCGTTTTCTTTAGTCCATTTGGGCTTTTACTTGATTGCTCCAGAGGCCCAACCAAAGGACAACTTTTTTGCTCTCTATCATGGCGCCACAACACGCTGCGACTATATCTCGCATTAAGCGAGTAGGTAGAAAGTCTCACTGAAGCTTCTAAAGTAATTTGGACCGGCCAATTCGCATTCGTGCGTGCATAGTAAGTAATAAAAAGAGCACAAGAAAGGGGAGAAGCAAGGACCGATCCCTGGTCTCTATGGAGAACGCAGGCACTGCTCGCCCAAGTCCCATTCGTGGTAAGTAGTAGGGGCGCATCCTACTTGAGGCGATTCGAGCTGGTTTTGTCCGGTTTTTTCTTTCTTTCTTTTTTCTTCTCCTTTTTCCATTCTTTTTTGGCATTTTGTTTCTTTGGTTTTATTTTTCATTATTTTCATTTGGTTTATTTTCTTCATTTTTCGGTTTTCTTCGTTTTTTGTTTTTATTCTATATTTTTTATGTGTCAAAAAACATTTTTCTAATACATGTCTAATATTTTTCCAATACAATTTTAACACTTTTGTAATACAAGTTCAACATATTTTCTATACACATTTTTAACATTTTCAAATGCTGGATTAACAATTTTCAAATATAAGATTACATTTTCTAAATACATAGTCAACATTTTTCCTATACACACTTTTAAACCTTTTCAAATGCTTAATTAACAATTTTCAGATACAAGATTAAAATTTTCTAATACATAGTCAACATTTTTCTATGAACATTTAACATTTTTTCAAATGTTTGATTAACATTTTTTGAAAACATGGTCAATATTTTTCTAAACACATTTAATATATTTTTTAAATGCTTGATTAGCATTTTTCAATTACTCGTTAAACATTCTTTCAAATGCTTGATTAAAAATTTTATATACATGATCAAATATTTTCATCATTTTTTAATACATGGTCAAGATTTTTTCTAGACGCATTTAACCTTTTCCAAATGCTTAATTAACATTTTCAATCACTTATTCAACATTTTTCAAATGCTTGATCAAATTGTTTCATGCACATTTTTTGTATACATGATAAAATTTTATTTATACGCATTTAACATTTTTCAAATACTTAGTCAACATTTTAAATTTTTTTTGTAGAGTGATTTTTGTATATATTTATTTGAAATATTTGGAAGTATAAACAATAGTAAAAAAAGCTAAAAAAACAAAACAAAAAATGAGTCTGTTGTTCCCGTGCACCTGCGTTGTCCCAACTAGAGCCACCGTTCAGCCAGGGTTCCCACTGTATCTCTTTATATGAGACATAGGGGCGCCCTCGCTAATAGGTGGTGCCGCCCGTTCCGAGCACATCATCGACGACATCACGCCGCTGCTCCTCTACTCCGTGGTCGAGTATCTCCACTTCCGTATCCTCCTGAAGGACATATTCGTGCAGTTCCGCTCCAGGCACCCCGACAACATGCTCCACCCAACGTGTAAAAAATCTGCCTCGCCTAAGGACAACCATCCCAAGGTACTCAGGCCAACTCCTACGCGCGATCCCAAATGGACGCTCGTTTTGTCCCATAGGTCGGGTAAAAAGGGCGGCGTCCGGCCGTTTATTTGTTTGTGCTGGCAGTGCGCCTAACAGGCAGACGCATTTTGTCCGGCCGTCTGAATTTTTTGCAAGAAAAATGAAAACTAAAATTAGATGCGTTGTCATGGTCATGCCGGCCAGAGCGTCGGCGATCGGCAACCATACCAGCCTACAAAAATTATCACCCACGATTCACGCCGACACAATAGCCAGCGGCCGACACACTTGCCGGCGCACAAAAAACGGGCGTAGTTCGCAGCCCCAGTTTATGTCGGCAGCCGACATATAAAATGATGTTGCTCTTGGTCGTAGCTCAACCATCTAGCTCGAGCATTGTCTTTTGCTTTTTCTCGAACTAACCGCTTCTCTTCAGGGACATCTTGCTCAAGTCTACCGTCATGATCTCCACCTCCTTCGCAATGAAAACTAGTGCCACCTCCTTTGCTTTGGTGTTCACATTGGTGGCCTCAATCTCCAACTTCTTCGTTTGGACGGCCTCCTCGATCTCGAGCTTCCTCCTTTTGGCGGCCTCCTCCATCTCGAATTTCTTCGTTTGGTGCTCCATGTAGGCCTTCATTTGCTCCTCTTTTTCTTGGCGCTTCCTCTCGTCCCTTACTTCCTTTTGGGTCATCATGCCTTGCAATTTTTTATGCAAGGCGAACGATGCCGCATCACGATTCTCGTCCACTTTCGAGTTGGCCACTTCACTCCTTCATGATCAAGGACGACCGCCGTCCCTCCATTCTTCTTTAGGGTGGCATATTGATCTTTACACTTGGGGTACTATTTGATGAGTGTCCAACAATGGGCTAGGGTGAATGGCTTGTTCGCATGTTGGGCCTTGAAGGCTTCCAAAGTTTGGCCGGCGTGGATCGGCTAAACCCTAACATGAGGAGGGCTTGCTACGTCGCTGCCTGCGTGGCCTTGGCGGCGAGGGCCTCATTATCTTCAACGACGACCTTGTGTTGCGCGGCGGTGGTGGCCGGCGACGACTTTCCTCTCCGCAGCTGCGGCCCTTCGGCCAGCCCTCTTCGCCGTTTCTCAGGCGAGCTGCACCGGCGTGAGCACCTTCTTGGGTTTCTTCTTCTTTAAGGCCGCGGAACGGGCGGCGGTGGCGGCCGGGATGGCGGCGACAGCGTCCTTTGAGGCGGTGGCCATGACGGGAGCAGGAGGGCGAGAGAGTTTTTTGGGTGAGAAGGGGAAATGGCAACGTTGTGCCCCCGACGGTCGGACCAGGGGGAGGACAAGGGCGTGTGTCCCACATGTTAGCGCTTTTTGACGGAAACGCGACCCAAATTTGGGCCATAAATGCGTTAAGGGCGAGAAGAAAACGAACCCCCATCCATTTGCGTCGGCGCGTTGGACCGTATTTTTTGTCCGTTTTGATCGAAACGTTGGATTTGGCCTCATGGCGCGCTAGTAAGCTAGTGCCTCAACCTCCGTCACCTTAGTTAGCGATGTCGAGCAGATGAGCTCCAAGCACAGGATGAACAGAGAAGTGATCGAGCTGGAGCAGCTGGGGACAAGAGTCATGCAGTTTGCAGCCCTAGTTTGCAACCTGATTACAAGGCGATCAGCCCGCGCTTGCACTTTGCCCTGGACTCCTGGAGCATGAAGATGGAGGATGGATGAAAATCACCATTTGAGTATGAGCAGCAATTCAAACCAGGGAAGAAGGTGATGCTCCAAGAGTACCTCGTCTGCTACATCGTCATCGAGTGCGGGATCAAAGGGCAAATTCCAATTTCCGTGAGGGTAACCGGACCATAATTCGCATCGACAGACAAAATAAAAACCAGTTAGTATTATTTTCCTCTATTTTTCCTCGTATTGGCTGCAGTACAATTACACAGTTACACGTGCATTAAGTTAACCACCATGATGAACATGTCATTGCAGACAGGAAAGGTGTAATCGTTGAGACAAGGGTGAAATCCAGAGCTCCTGCTCTGCTGCTTACATCCCTGAGCAACGGCTTCCAAACGTTTTGTACAACGCCTATTTTTACTGCATTTTACCTCCAGCCTACTCTCATCCCAAAATATACAGCAGCAGTCATGCGAACAATCATGGCGATCTCGCCGGCTGAAAAAATAATCTGACAGAGAACAAGCTCTCATGATGCCTGTGCTCGCGGCAGGGTCGCTATCTCTACCAGCGTTTTGTGCAACGCTTGCGGCCTCGAGAAGAAAGGGGCGTGGTCTGAACCTTTCAGCCGCAGGACCTTCTCCGGCGGGTTAGTCACACACATGCTCTGCTGCAGGGAAAGAGGTATCGCATTGTCCTCCGTTGTCTCGACAAAGAATCGCCGCACCGATCCGTAGTTCCCTTCTGTTAACGTGAGTTTCTCCATTACCGGGGCAAAGGGGATGGGTCTCATGGACACTGAAGCCAATGATACATCCTACAGAGACAAATGGAGTGGGTGTGAAATGTTAATTTCGAAACTAGGATTCAGTGATATGGTTGGACATGATTGTCTGACAGTATACCTTGGCAGGACTTTGGTTGAATAACAGATCTCTTACTGAAGCCCTGTCGATGTTGATAGCGGTGGGAGGCCGGTCCTTGCCATTGGAGTATACTAATTCCTGTGCCTTTTGGAGCATACCATTTGTATCCATCTGAAGCAATGGGAGCACAATTGTCTGGCATCAGGCAGAATCTTTGAAGATATACTAACTTGAATGCTAGACAATATTGAAGATTATTTTTTCAGTTTTTTAATTGTAATTATGCTGTCATTGGGGTCAAACCTGTTGTTGGAAGATATCAAGAGCACTATGTCCATTTGTCAGCATTGTTGCACACAGGAAAACAGCCTTGGCAACTTTCGATGGAAACATCTCCATCGCATGGGATATGCAAGCACCCCCAAAATCATGTCCAACCAAGATAACCTGTGTAATAACAAGAACTATCAATGATGTATATTTGCTTAGGTGAACAAGATGCTGTGCACAGCAAGAAATATCACAAATAGGGACCAGTCTCAAAGGAAAAAATCTCATGGAATAAATTATGTGATGCTGAAATATCAGAACCAGCGCCACAAAAATTCCAACAATACTGAGAAAATGTGAAATTGAATCTGATGCATCAGCGAGTAAAGTGGCATGCCTTTGATAAATAAATTGCACATACATTAATGGCATGTTACCTAGCTACTCAAAACTATTCAAGTACAAGCAGTACGGCAGCAAGCATGGCCATTTTCATGAGATCCCGCTGGGCCGGCGAGCCGATCGCACGACACGGACACGGATACTCTAGGAGACTATCTGGAGAACATTCATTGTGTAAGATTCTTGTTCAAGTAATACTGACGCCCAGACTTCAAACCGTAAGCTCAGACTCCATCTTTCATAAATTGATTCCAAAACACTGAGAATGTTCTGTGCTTATGTTTTTTCTTTCACATACATGTTGCTGTCTCGAACGGTTAGGGGTTACCTTAGGCTAACAGCGTATATCTTAATACTTAATATCTTCTAATATTATCATCCATGATAGTCAAATGATTAGCCTAATAATATTCCAAACTGAAGTAAATTTTGCTAAATATGTCAAACATATTATGGTTAGAATATCAAAAGAGAGCAAACCTTTTCAGCATCACCTAGACCCTTAAGGTAAGAGGTAAGTGGCTCAGCATACTCTGAAAGACTGCTAATCTTGTTTGTATCAGAAGAATTAATCCCGGAGCCTGTTAAGTCAATAGCATTGACTTTGAACCCACTATCTTCAAGAAGTGACATGGTCTTGTACCAACACCAAGCACCAAACCCACCTCCGTGAACAAGAACAATTATGTTGGTTTCCAAATCTTTAGTGTCCAACTCCTGTTTAAAAAACAGCACATTGGTTAAGATGGTTATATGAATGCAATGACCGCAGTTACATATAGAAACAACACTAAAACATCTTTTTTGTTTAGATAATGGAAGAGCTTTATTGCTTCCTGCCTCTGCATGGTAGATCCACATCTTACATACATACAGATAACATATATTAGAGTCAAAGAATAAATCACTGAGAATCTTAAAACAACTCTGAAACATCTGCATTACTAAGCAAGAACATGCAATAAATCCCTTGAAGTTCACTAGGAATTCAGGAGCATAGGCAGTTAGGCACTAGACAAAGTGTCAAAGGTATTTGCGTTTTTCATAGTTGTAACTGTAGAAATGTTTGTTTGCCAGCGATTCGAAAACAAAAACACCAATTAACTGCCAAATGGCGTGCTAATTCAGTATCATATATACATCCATCAACTGACCAGTGGCATTGAAAATGCCAGACACGAACTACACAATCAACCAAAACCTCCCTGCTGACGGCCGGCAGCTTCTTCTTGGTAAACAGTCAGCACGCCACTAGTTGATAGCCATGTTGGCAGGTATATAAGCCAAGTTGCCGCCGGCAGCCATTTCCAGTAACGGCCAAGACAGACTAGGTGACAGCAACAAACATTTGATTTCGACAAAAATTAGGCAACACAGATTCACCGTGACTGAAACAATTTTTCGAAGTAAAGAATATCAGGAACTAGGATCCATGGGACAAGTGGAAGGTACCCTCCTCGTCCCTTCTCCAGAATAAATGAAGACATGCGACAATATCATTGTCCTAGGAGGCTAGTACAAGAAACAATCAATGTAATGGCGTCTGAATTCTGAATCATGCTAATATGTACCAACAACAACCGCCACCCATCACCCAGACGTCCGTGGTTTCCAAATACGCTCTGGACTTTTACTAAATCAATGCTCGGTAGCTTGCCATATGGATCGCATTGTGCAATCACGGAGAGATGAATGGACAGAGGCCCCTGGAGCTGTAGGTTTTCCACGTTTCGACTAGCCTATGGCATACGGGACCCCCATGTTATAGCCTCACTAACCAGCGACACAGATGGATCAGAGATTCAGAGGACGCCTGCAAAATGTAAGTACTGCAAGTCTACTTGGCAATTCTCACATCGCTAATCGCAGTAAGCACGGGAACAAATCGAACTATTGAAGGGCATTACAGAATCAGGACCCAGGTTCGACAAAAACAGATGAATTTTGAGGACAGAGCAACATAGAATTGAAGTAAGCATTTTTTTTTCTTCGAAAAGGACGATTACCCCGGCCTAAAAATCGGGCATCGTTTCGGCAAGCCGGACAAAGCATGGGAATGGATCAAATTCCACCATGGAAACAGGGGGAGACCGGAGAGGCGGAGACGGCGCCGGAAACTACGTAGAAACTACTGTAGGCGGCACTCACGGAGCCTCGGTGGCCGACGAGAAAACCGACCGATAACCACCAGAAATCCGGAGTTCCCGGCGAGTGAAGGAAAAGTCAACATGGAGCAGCGTCAAAATTCCACGCGGCGGCACGCGGACCAACTAACTAAGCAATGCGACCGGGAGAAGCGAAGCAAGCGAGGAACGAAGGAAGGAGGAGGAAGAGGACGGGGTCGATACCTTGGCGAGGAGCTGCTGCGGCTGGAGCTCGGGGTCGGCGAGGGAGCGCGGGCGCGTGCTGGAGCTCCTGGGCAGCGGCGGGCCCTGCTGCTGCCGCTTCGCGGCGTACCGCACCGACGCGGACCGGTCAAACGCGCCTCCCCCTCCGCGCTGCCCGAGCACGAGCGCCGCGGCGGCGGCCAGCGCCTGCTCGTCGATCTCCGCGGCCTTGGCGCCGCCGCCGCCGCGGCGGGAGGACGCGGAGGAGCGCCGCTTGGCCTGCGGCGGGGAGTCGGAGGGGGGCGTGCCGGACATGCAGGACATCAGAGCGCCCATCGGACCCTCCTCCCGCCCGCTCCGATTCCGAGAACCGGCGGCGGTCGTGGGGCGAG